TTCTTGTGTAGCCAGAGGTTGTGAGAATAAATGCGGGGGAGGAGCTCCCATATGGACAGACATACAGACAGCAAGGAATCAATTTGTCCTAGGCAGAGTCAGGAGAGACCTGGATATGCCCACGGGCTTTCTACTTCCTGAGAGGGAAGACCTAGGTGGGGACTCCCATCTGCTGTAGGTGGAGGCTCCTCAGGGTGGTTGTAAGCAGCCTCCTTCAAGGCAGCTTGCCCTCCCTTTGAACAGCTGGCTTCTTCCTGAAGCCCAAATCCAGCCTCCAGACAGAGGCTTTCCTTCCATCTTAGGATGAAGCCCCCTTGCTCTGAGCAGTCAGGTGAAGGCAGGCAGGCCAATACACTGGCCATCCCACTGTCTGACAGAGCACTTGCAGAAGCAGTGCCAGGGACTCCAAGGAAAGTCAAAGTCTTGGAGGACTTTGAGGTTCATGCTAAGGCTTTCGTGGCTTTCACGCCTGTCCATTTCAGGACCTGTCCATGGGGAGAACTTGATTGGGTCATTATTCGAGAGAGCAGGAGCCCATCTCAGTTAAAGTATCTCTTTCCCATCAAAAAGGCCACTATTGGTGAGGCCTGGACAGCTGCAACATATTCCCCTTTGAGTTAGGAAAAGAGCCTTAGGTCTTAACCTTGACTGTGTCCACAAAGAACCATCCAAAGGACTCTTTTGGCCTGTTTTCCTTGGCTCCATCATGAATGACTTGGGTGGTTCTTGATGGACAACAGCACTTGGAAATACAGTTGGACTTAATGTTGCTTTGACCTAGGTGTCTAGTAACCTCGATCTGAATCCATTTATGAAACTAGCAAATTGAGAAAGTGGATAAGATGTTTACACCAAAACTATTTGGAAGTGTGGTGGATCCCTCACCCACTTGGCTTATAATTCTGCCTTCCAGTGATCTCTCAGATCATCATTATTTCATTTTGAAGGTCATCTTAAGGAGGCTCTTGCCTAGGAAACCATTTTTGAAGCTGGATGCTCTTAACAATTATTGGCCAGTGTCCAGTAATCCATATTTGGCCAAGATGGTTGAGAAGGCAGCAGTGCTCCAGTTCCAGGAGCTGCCAGAAGAAACAGATTACCCTGATCCTTTTCAGATGAGGTTCAGCCCTGGAGATACAAGTGATCAGCACAACCTAAACTTAGATACAATGCTTACAAGTATTTGAAAACATTCATACCTATACAAATTAGTGAAATCTTTACATCTTTCTCCTGCTGGAAAATTGCTGTAATTTCCAGCTGAGTTTATACCCAATCAATCCTGTATCCAGATCAGAGCAAGCACACACCCCACTAAGTTCAACTAGCAAAAAAATATAGCTTGATGTTTATTTATTTATTAAACATAAAAAAGGATTAGCTGATAAAACGAGGCAAAAAGCAGGCAAAAGCAAGGAGGGAAAGACATGAACTGGTAAGAGATAAAAGGGCAGAGGTCTGACCTGACCTGATTTTAAACATCTACACTATTTATCCATCTACAACAGAAGGCACAGAACTTTCCATAGCCACCGGAAACAATACTGTAGGTAATTAGCATGGGCTGCCCTAAAGGGAATGACTTTGATTATTTCAACTTTTGTGCACATAACAGCAACAGAATAGAGATGGAAAGTAGGACACCAGGTGGCCCATCTTCTATTCCGCACCATGAAAGAAACAGTTTGGAGGACAGGAAATCTGTTAGTTGGAAAAGGTGCTCCGGATACTTCTGAGTTTTGGTGGACAGGGTATCCACATCTCCCATCCTCTGAAAAATAAAACAATACCTGATTGGGAACAAACTGAATGAAGAGTTAAGTGGAAAGTTAGCTAGCGAAATGGAGCAAATTTCAACAAAATGCTTTTGAAGTTACCGGGAAAACTTCAGAACACGAAAGATAAACTCAAAACTGGAACCGTTCATTATGCTTCATCCTCCCCTAGTGGGCAAAAGAGAACCTTAAAGGAATCCTCTCCTGCCTCCAGTCTACCTTACAAGTCTCTGAATTTCCAGGAAAGTAACATTTAGAACCATTCATCAGTGCCCTGGATCTGCTGAGAGGTAGATCAGGAGGTGCGAGTGTTGTTCATAAAGTCTTGTGGGTGTCAGATCCTCTGGGTGCTGGTATGGCTTTTGCACCTGATTGTCGGCTGGTTTTCAGAAAAATGTACTTCCTATTCTGTAACAGCGATCTGGAATCAGAATCCACCTATTACCTAGGGTGTGTGTGTGTGTGTGTACGCATTTGCAGTATAATCCACCCTGCTCTACTAATACCTTTACACTGCTCTGGGCAGCTTAATTACAATTAAGTCACAATCTAATGTGACTATTCAGGAGTCGCCTCTAAATGTCTGATGATGCAGAAACAATTGAAGAAATGGGCACTCTCATAGCAAGATCCTTCCAGATTGTTTTCTACAGTTTTGTTAATGTTTCACTTGTTCTACTCTTCCCTTTCTCCTCTTTTGTACAGGCTGCCTTTCAAGATGCGTCTTAAGGCACCAGATATTTCATTGTTCAGAAGTTCATCTGGGGGACCTTGAGAAGGAAGCAGAATCTATAGTCCCTGTGGCTGATTTCCTTGCTGTGCACGGGCAGATGTGCTTGAGACACACTCTTAGTTCACACACAGGAACCCAGTAGTTGGAAGTCAGACTTTGCTTTCCTTGAGGTAGTGTCACTGGGCTGTAGAGGCTGCAGGAAGGTGGTCACGCTACAAAAGGGGCAGGGGGCACCTACAGGGAACAGCTGCCCTGGGTTTCCAGTTCAAGTTCTCACTGTTGGGTTCTGCTCAATGCTCCCTGTTCCTGGAGCCCATCAGGTATGTTGATGCTCTCCTGCCCAACCAGGACATCCCAGGGTGGGGGAAGCTGCAGAAACATTAGGTTACGTCAAGAACTCTTGTTCTAGAAAGGTGCCCCTCCTGATATTAAGTATCTGTACCAGGAATTACCAGCCTCACTGATGGAGCAGGGAGTGACCCTGCACACAGGTCTTTCTCTGAAATCCACTTCCTGGGAAAACTTCAAGGAACTCCCCAGAAGCGGCTGGACAAGAAGAGCACGCTGGTCTTTAGGCAGGAAGAGAATTACAGGATTTTGAGACAAACCAGCATCAGTGCCTCCTCTCTGTGTAGACAGCCCTAAAGCTTACTCCAAACTTGAGAGAGAGGTTCAGAAAGAATAGGCAAGGGGCAGAACAAGCAGCTTTCAGCCAGTGGTGATGCAAGATGATTTGGTGGAGTGATGGCTTTGGTGTGCCCACAGGTCCTCTGGAGCCCTTTCCCATGGCTACTCAACTGTCCGGACCCAGGTTCTGACATGTTGGGGGCCCAACTGGCAGTGGGAGAGATTCATTCCCCCTCCCCCTGCAGGTCAGCTGAGCAGCCCACCCACCCCAGATAATAGCAAAGGAAAGCTGTGCCTGACTGAGTCCTTGGGCAGTCAGGCCCGACATTTAATGAAGCAGGAGGCCTGCAAATGCCAGTGTGTCTGGCACAAAGGCCATCATGCATTGCCCTTGGAACAGGAGGGCTTCAAGGAGTGAAATCTCCATCAGACAGGACAGACTCAAGCGGACCGACTTTCTGGGGAGGGTCTCTGAGAAGCAGAGTTAGCACTGGGGCAGCACAGCTCCCTGAGGCTGCTACCCAAGGGGTCTAGCCAGATGCACCCCAGCCCTTCTGGGTCAGGAGTGGGGAACCATGTTCTTCAACCACAACTTGTAGCAGTGCCAGCCACCAGGGGCTTCTGCGATCCTGGAAGTTCAGTCCAAGGACCTCCCCACATATCCCACAGCCTCATTTGCTCGCATCAGGTCCAGATCAGCAAACACAGAATCCCCCACCCCAGCCCCGGCTGAATGCAGAGAGAGGCCTGACTGGGCAGAGGAAGGGCCAGCCGGGTCCTGTCCTCAGGCTGGGGCTCTACGGGGGGATCTGGAAGCAATAGAAGCCCAAGGTCTCTGCCCTCAGGGTTGGTGAAGACCGGGGAGGTCTTTCAGAACAAGGATGCAGTTTACCCACACAGCGACTGGGAAATATAATTTTCATTGGACCTTTTTCATAGCAGTCTCAAATGCATTTTTTCCTTTTCTGGCATTATAGTGCACTCCAACTGCTTTGGAACCCAGTGATTTGGCTTTTGAGGGTAGCAAGGAGAACGGCCTTTTCCACGAGAAACAGCAACTGAAAGTGAGGCGGGAATGAATCAGGGCCTTTTTCGGGACTCCTGTTGGCCCAGCTAGAACCCTTCGGGAAGAGGAAGCTACTCCAGCTTGGCTCAGGAAAGGACCGAGGAAAGAACGAGGTGTTACAAACACCCACCACTTGCTGCTAAAAAGGGTGCCCCTCCTCTTCACGAGCCCCATGGGAGCCAGTCCCTAACCAAACGCCCTGCAGCTGTGCTGGGGCTGCCATTCCCCACCCCCACCGGGATCCTGGAGGAAGGGTGCAGGGCTAGTCTGGCGGGACCCTCAGCTCCCTGACCCATTTCCTACCTCTGCCAGCTGCTGAGGTCACAGTACAGAAGGATGTGGGGACATCAGCACGTTGGACCCCAGACCACAGGTGGACACAGGGAGCATCATGCAGGACTGCTGTTTTTGCCACACGCTGGCATGGCAAGGAATCGCTCCGGATCTCTTCCTTAAACGTGGGGTGTAAATTCCCACAGGCTGGGGATAAAAGACAGGCAGAGAGGTTCCCCAGCCATCTTGCACTCAACACAGACGTCAGACGGGTGGCTTGGTATTGGGGCTACCAAATCTGGGGCTGCAACCTGCTGGCCAACCAGTGGATGAAGGCAACTGGATACAGAAACTCTAACCCGATATCCCCATCTAGTGGCTATCTAGATTTCTGCAGCCTGGAGGAGTGAACCAGGCTACTGTTGGGACAGTGGTCTATTTGAAACAGTCTTCAAAGCTAGAATATCAATTGACACAGCATCGTGGAAGTTGGACATATGCCAAAAAAGTTCCTTGACACTATAAAATGAAGCAACATTTTAACAGAATGATCAAGCACTACAATTACATATGCTCTTACTTGTTTTTCACCTCTGTTAAATATATTGCAAACCCTGTTTTTATTGCCACAATCATACTGTTTTTCCTAAATAAATTTAACTCTTGTAAGAAAAACAATCCACAAGGCTTAATATGCTTACCGTAAAACCACCTCACATAAAGACATTTTACATCTTTTATCAGAAGCATTTAAAAATGAATGGTAGGGATTCAGGGCTCTGCTACTTTTTTCGTACTCTGGAGAAAGTAAAGTATCTGTAAACTTTGCATGAAGACTAACGTTATTAAAGCACAGCCGCCAAGAGCAGTGGAGAAGGCGGGAAGGGACCTCAGTGGCTCAGCCTGTGAAATCCCAGCCGGGCTTTTCCCTTGTCTCTTCGGCAGAGCCAGAGGCTCTGGGAGACACAGAGGCAGCAGGAAGGGGGGGCCACGTCTGTCTCTTGGTCTCGTCTTCCCACCGAAAGGGGAGGTAACTCTTTTCTACTGGCTTTGTCGCTCTGGTGGCCAAAACGCTTTTCCAGGGACGGGCACCTGCCGGCCCAAAGCCTGCAGCCAACCTCCTGCTTCCGCCCCTGCCCTCAGCTCACCCCACTCTGGGCGAGCCAAGTCTGCGATGCATGAGTCGGCAGCCCCTCTCCCTCCGCCCCAGGGAAGAGGGCAGGGCAAGCTGCAAAGCCAGATGCTTCTGCCTCCCCATCGCATTTGCAGGAGGCCCTCCAAGCAAGGTATTAAAATAGCCCCCCCCCCAATAAACCAGCAATCACACGTTTTTAAACGGCTGAAGTCTTGCAAGAGTTTGGCAATCGTTCACGAGATCCTCCCCATGCAAGAACAGCCAGCTCTCTCGCGTGGGAAGCCTGAAACCCTATGAAACGACAGTAGGATCTTCCAAAACTTTGGTGGCCTGGTGCAATATTTCAGGGACTCTCCATACGTATGTGTACTTCCCTTGCCCATATCCTTGGTGCAGCAAGTCAAATGGTCCACAGTCCCAGGATCCACCCCTTGAGGAGGGAACAGCTGCAGAACTGCCAGCCTGCACAGGAAGCAGGGAAAGTGGGAAAGGGAACAAGGGATAACCGTCTTTGGCCAAGTTCTTTGGGGTGAGGATGTGACGGTCGGGAGCATCCCTCTCTCCCCCCCATCACTCTAGTAACAATTTCTGAATCTGTATTCAGGGGACACCTTTATTAGGGCCAACTTAAGATCCCCAAATAATATATAAGCATTCATGTTTCCCAAAACTTGCTATCAAGCATTATGGTGGGTAGGGTCAATAGTTCCAGTTGTTCAGTGATTAAAAATAAAATAAATAATAAGGATGACGAGGCTATTGGTGGATGCTGCGATCCCAAGTGCAGAAAAATTTCCTACATCTGCCTCTGACGGGAAGCATCTCAAGAACACGCAACACGCCAAGGTGTGAAGTCCTGGGTCTCACCCACCCTAATCATGGACAAGGAATCAGCTGTTTAGGCTGACGGACCCAGGTGCCCTCCCTCTTCCCAAGGACCACAGTAGGCGCACCATCCTGATGAAACTGGTCCAGCATGATGGTGGTCATGGGGCGAACCTCTTCAGATCTGGAAGTCTTCTCGTGGTCGCCTTGAAGTGACTGCAATGACGTTTATCTCTGTTCTCGAGCTTCCTTAAGGGAGTAAAACAGCTTACATGCAATGTCAGAGTTCAGACTGAACGTGTCACAGTGTGAACTCACATGGCTTCAAGTCACTCTCTTGGGCAATTTGGCAACGAAGGACTAAGACCCTAATAAAACGGTATACGTGGTACCATTAGTAAAGAGTGAGTTTTACACTAAGCTCAGATATGGATTTGGAGGGTCAGATCAGCGCGGCGAAGGGCCTAGAAGTGCAGATCGGAGCTACGTGAAGCTGTACAACTGGGAAATCTCATGAGTACAGAAATCCAGGAGGAGCGCTGCAGACGCCCGGTCCCCTGGAGCAGAGAGACACAGGTTTGCACCTGTCATTATCCGTCGTGCCCCCAGATGACTGCCTGCTCTTCTGAGAAGACCAGGGCTCCAAAGGAAAGAGGCCCCTCACAGCAGTGCCACCTGCATCCCATACTGCTGCCTCCAACGGCAGAGGCCGAGGGTCACCCAGCCTCCCTCCCTGCCTCAGCCGTTGCAGAAGGGCAGCCCCAAGAACCCCACAGCTTTCCTGGCAGGGATCTGTTAGCAGGGCCATCCTCCAACAGGGCCCAGGCACCGGGTCTGACTGAGGGGGCCACCAGTCAATGTAGCCGACCGAGGCCGGCAGGCAGATCCTCCCATCTCTTGCCCCATCTGGTAGGGAAAGGCAGAGCTGGGTAGGAGAAGGAGAGGGCCAGCTGGGGTTCCTCACTCAGCTACCTCCAAGCTGCTGCCCTGATGGGACCTGTGCAGTTGGGCTGAACCTGGCCTTTGGGACCAGCTGCCCCAACAAGGGAAGTAACAGAGCAGGGAAGGGCGGGGGGGGGGCATTCTGGACCCCAAACAACAAGTTAATCTTCAGGGTGCCAGGTAGAATGGATTCCTCTACAGGAAAAGGATTTACG